CATCTGGAGTGAAATCAACAGCATCCCGCAGAACCCGGATACTTTTGTCAAGATCACCGGCATCATCCAAGTGGTCTACCCGGTATATAAGTGCAGTGCCCAGATCAAGCAGGAATGTTGGGTCTGTGTCATTGTCGCGTACTGCATCATCATATGCTAGGACTGCTTGGTTGAGTACATCCATCATATGAGACTCTTTCCACCGTTTGATGCAGATATCTCCAAGTGTTTTCAGAAATCTGCTCCGGAGGGTGTTCTTTGGGGAGAGTAAAATTCTCTCATGCATGACCCAGAGATCTTGTGGATCCACTTGTGCTGTTGCATCCAGAAGCAGCTGCAAGTCTATTGCTATCGCTAGAGGACTGATAAAACCAACTGAAAAGGAGATTCAACCTCAGCCACTTGTCTATCGCTTGTTGAACGAACTTCACCTTGAAGTCCCTGTATGTTATTTCCGTGTAGGCCCAGTGGCTCTTGGGTCAATGTTGAGATTGACAATGCCACAGTCAAGTTGAGTAACGGGCTGTCCGGGTTCACTTTTACAAGTGACAAGCGGAAGGCTTCACAACAGTAAGTACCCTAACTGCTCGTGCAGACATTGAACGCACGTTTTCGCTCTTCACCAAATGTGAGAGCTTCACCCCGTCCAATCTCGATGGAACCAAGCAGTCGGGTGCCTTGAATTTTTCGCATAACTGCTATTGTGAAGGTAGGAATGTGGGGTGGGCTGGGAAAATTTCAGCTGTGTGGTATCGGCATGAGGGATCCGGAACACATACACTTCACAGTCAAATCTGAACTTCCACGTTGGTGCGTCCTGATTATCCTCCCTGTCTGTTGGTACAGTTTGCTTGAGTATGATCCCATCACCAATGAGTTGAGCAAATATCTTCATGCCCGCTGGAAGATCGGGATGGGGGTCGATCGGTGCTCGGACACGTATATCTGGTGTTCGTCAATGGTCAGCCCATTGGCTAAGAGGTTAAAGGGAGAATTACTGTGAATATATAGGCTGGGGGATTCCAATGATCAGTAAGTGGTTGGCGACATGGATATGCGCAGGCTCACATTCTGGACATGATGGGGGGTGTCGAAGACCAGCTATCACGGACAGATATTTAAGAGCAACACGTGTGATCGATAATCCGGCGATATTGAAGAGCGTGGAGACACTGAGACCGCATATGGACTGGTGGCGCCCGCGATCTGTCAAGTTTACATGCGCCAAGTCTCGGAAGTTAGGCACGGAGAAAATGAATATCATAGGATTCACAACTCGGTGACATGTCCGATGGTCGCTTATTCCGGTCCTCTTTTTTTAGTTCCCGGGAATGCCCGTAGACCAACCAGAGGCCGAGCAATAGACGAGTTGAGACTTGCTCAGGTGTTGGCCACTCCTTGCTTTTCTGTTTATCTACGCAAGCTAAGGGGTTGGCATCGGAAGGGACTTCCATTCCAGTTGTCACTATTGACCGGCGCCCATCTAAATAGATCCTCTTAAGCGCCGCCGACTTCTTCCATACAATTTTCACTTCGACCCGAACCGGAATCTAGATTAGCTATCACATCCCTCCCCGAACCTGTATTCACTCTGATGGTCCCAAACGTTTCTATGTAGTGATCATCGCGGCGGCCGGTGGAACAAAAAAAAAAACGACAGCTGCGCATTGACATGCCGTCTGGAGGAATCGAACCCCCGTCTGTCCTCCATCAAAGTTCCGACAACCTTAATGATTGGGGATGGCCGCCATGGCCTAAGACGGCTCGTTCTACGCGATTTCAGCTGGATTCTACTCCGTCGTTGTCCATCGACTGGGAGGGGGCAGGGGATGAATTCTATCCGGTATCATCACTCCACCTCACCCAGTGCGGAATTTTCTGCCATCCTCCTGGGTTTTCCTCCGTGGATCGTGGAAGATGTCTCATGTTGTAAACGCGAAAAAAAAATGAGGAACTCTCAGTGACATGCCGTCGGGAGGAATCGAACCGCCGGTTGCCCCATTCAAGTTCCCACAATGGCACTGATTGGGGGCGGTCTCCATAGCCTACGCCGGCTTATTACCCACTTCCAGCTGCATCATGTCCGGAATTCATCAGGAACCTATGCAACCGGTTTTCGGACTCTAAGACGCGCGAACGCGCAGTCTTACCATGCTTGTTCCCAAAGGCAGAGAAAGGTTCAAATGAGTGCCGCAGTAGCCCAGCGTGCGGTTCTATATTCAGCGGATGTCCCACAACTACCGTCGATCGCGAGCGCTGCCTCAAGGCAACGGTGAGGTTCAAATCCCGGGACCAAAGGTGCCGGGCTCCGAGTCAACTCCGAATTCAAATCGGGGTTGAAAATTTTCAATTGTTTGTTCACTTGAAACGGCAAAATTGGCCTCGCTCGCATACGACGATGCTGAGTGTTCCGCTCACCGATTGTTCCCTCCGCTCTCTCCGTGTAATTTGGCAATGGCAATCTACCCGGGACCGGGAGAAGCCGATGGTATCAGATATCAAAAATAACTGCGCTGTTTTTGCGCCGCGTGAGGAAGTAGGGTTAAGAAATTCTCATCTACCAACGCTTATCCCATGCTCTCGGACTCGATATCCATCCAACTGCTGTCTACACAGAGGTCGGTTGGATTTTTGGTTCAAACTAACGATCTCCGACGAATAACAACGAAGAAAAAGACGAAACAAATACAAAACAGTATGATAACGACTCACTCTCCCCTCCTCTTCCTGCTCACGTCTCTGGCGCTCCTCGCAGCGGCGACGTACTACCCGCTCATCGAATACTCGGGCATAACGTTCTTCGACTGGTGGGACTTTTATGGGGCGATAGATAATACGACTTAGGGTGCGTCTCATCTTTTTGCTGAACCTTTAGGTTTGGCTACTCTGGGGAACTTGGGTTTGGGCCATTTCGTCCACATGTACAAACAAAATTTAGTCATGCAACATCAGTCATGGTAAAGAAAATTACCAGGAGAACGGCGCAACACAAAAACGTGACCGGAAATTACCAGCATTTTGATTGATCCATTTCCCTGCTGAATGCATCTGTACAGGTCATTTTCATTTCCAGTGGGCGGAGCAATCCTTTAAGTTCGATTAGTAGACATGAGTCATTCCTGCTTCGTGTTTCGGCTAGGCATCCGTGATGAGTCATTTCTGCTTCATGGGCTCGGCATCCCGGGATGCGGTGATTTCCGGTGTCATGATACAAAGTGTGTTCGAATGTTGAAACCACCGCCCTTTCAGCTCCAACCGCGGAGCCCAAAGTAATACTGCTATCCCAGACCTCATATGTGAGGCTTCTGTAGCTGAGCTATCTTTCGATGTCCGCAGGGCGCAGAGCCAAACTTTGGCTGGAAATGTCGATCATAGGTTAGCACTTGCATAACACAAGCAATCAGTGGGGGGCCGCATGGTATCCAATGTCGGAACACAAGCTACAAGGCTGGAGCGATGTGTCAGACCCCGTGCTGTAGAAGGTCAACAACTATACTTGCCTCGAGTTTTTCCTTTTCGCCACCATGGTAGAGAACGAATAGTCTTCCAATACAGGAGTCACCTACCTGCAGCTAAACGGCCCCTCTAACAGCGAGGATCCATTGGTACAGCACAAGTCATGGCAATTGGGAAAATACATCTTGCAGCTTTTCATTATGAGTATTTGCTCAATTTCTTTGTGGCAAGCTGAAAATGAATCCGCAATCAGATCATAATGGGAGGCTCTGAGCGTAGATTCAAGTCCCCATCTGTTCACAATTTATTTTCGTCTCGGATGCTACCTGACCAAATTGTGATTTCGCGAGGCTTGAGGGATGCCCGTGGTCCGTCTAATCTAAAGCCTGAGAGCTTTCGGAAGGACGATGAAACCCAAAGGTTCAGCACCCGCCTCGAAGAGGCCCAATCCAAGTCATTTTACTTTCTTCTTGCCTTCACCATTCGCCGTATTTTCTCCCCTCGCACTTTTCTTTGGTAGAGACGAAGCTTGGGATGATATTGGACAGGAAACGTGACCTACGTCGATGCGGCGGACGCAACGGCCGAGTCGCTGGTGTACACGAACGGCGCGGGGAACGGGAATTTAAACTGACGCGGGGAACACAGCCACTGCGGAACCTCGGTCGAAAGCCTGCTAGCGTTCTACTCACCGCCATCAGCGGCATCGCCGATCGGTAATTGCAGTGTCGTCTCCATTCTCAATGTTTTGCGGAGATCAGTCGATCGTTTTCCTCAGCGTCGGTTCTTTTTGCTCCACGATGCTTTGTACCGTTGTCGGTGCGGCATTATAACCAACGATTTGGGAACTTTCACTCCTACTCGTGGCAAAAAGAAAAAGAAAAATTTCGACCCCACCGTACATGCCGTTGGAAGGAATCGAACCTCCGTTCACTCACGTTCAATTTTCTGTGCGCACGATCTAAGATGAGAGAGTGGCCGCCATGGCCTACAACGGCTTGATTACCTACTGCAAACCCGTTGGTCCTCGTTGGCAAATAGTGGGCCATTGAATTTTCCTTCTATTCACCGGTTTTAGTGGGCAGTTTCAAACCGAACTGCTCATGCTCACGCAGAACTAGCCAGTGACCACAAAACAAAGCGGCGGTTCGACTTGGGACAGCTGTCAGGAGGAATTGAACCCTGTCCGTTCCGCTCGAGTTTCTCCCAGTAAGTGTCGGCAATGACCACGGCCTACGACGGCTTATTCTACCCACAGTTGGCTGTATTGTGCGCAAACCTAAGTTCAGTACCTAAGCGAGTAAGCGTGGGGTTTAACTTCATCGCCCTGGTTATTCTACATCCGGCATTTATACACAACACCTCTCATCAGGGATAAAAATGGGCGATGATTGGACACTTGGTCCTTGTGAGACAACGTAGAGTGGCTGTTGAAGTTTTGAATATCGATACCTTGACTGATGATCTTGGGTTCTGTCCCTCTATCCGGTGGTTTGATCGTTGAAAGCTGGCCAGTGGCGAAAAAATGAACGCGAGCTTATCAATGCCGTCGGGAGGGATCGAACCTCCATCTGCCCCGCTCAAGATCTATGCAACGTAAGTTTCGGAACTGGCCCATGGCCCACGACGGCCTTCTAACTATAATAATATCTAGTCGTCTCGTGTGCTCGGACTGCCTTGTAATTTGTGGTGATCTCCGAGTCGTTGCTTCCACAGCCAACTCGCGTTTGACTGAATCATACTCGGTCCTTGTCTGGGTTCGAGCATGATGTGTCCCTCATGGGCACCTCTACTTAGTTCCGGGTTTTTCTTCTGTAAACGCGCCCGGCCGTCTGAGAATCAGCCATTACGAGAAAAAAGAACTTCTCACGGTATCCGAACCATGCCGTGGGGAGGGAATCGAACCCCCCGCCAGCCCCGCTCAAGTTCATCAATCCCGAACAACGGGGCTACGACGGCTTTTTACTTGAGTTTTTTTTTAGCTGTGCATTGGGTATTAGCTGTTGCGGGGGTCTGAGCTGGAGAGACGTGTCACAGGTAAAAGGGTTGCACGGATAGGTTATGCCGTCGGGAGGAATCGAACCCCCGGTTAACGTTGCCCCGTTCAAGTATTCGACCGGCCATATGATGACGAGGTGGCCGCCATGGCCCACGACGGCTTGTTGTATTTAATTTAATTTACTCCGTCGTTGTTAGACAATGGGGGCCATTAGACAATGGGGGCCATGACCTATCTAAGCTCATCACTCTGTCTTACCCAGTGCCGAACTTCTTCCATCCGTCCTGGGTTTTCTAAATCGTGGACAAACTTGTGTCAAGTCGCGAGAACCAGGCAGTCGTGAAAAGGGCCAGAGAATGATAATAAAAATCGCGCGACCCTCAGTGATTCATGCCGTCGGGAGGAATCGAACACCCGTTTCCCCGTTCACTTATATGTCACAACGTCATGATGACGGGGTGGCCGCCATGGCCTACGACGGCTTTTTGTACTCAATTTCAGCTGGATTTTACCCCGTCGTTGTCCGTCAACTGGGGAATGAATTCTATCCGAGATTAGTATTATGCATCACTCCGCCTCACCTAGGACCGAATTTTCCTTTTCCTCGGTGCTTGCTTTAGTATGGCGTCATAGAGCAAGTAAAACAGAATCTTTGTGAGCTGGCTAGTGGCGGGGTGAACAAAAGGAACTCGCAAGTTTTCTGATGCCATCGGGAGGAATCGAACCTCCGGCTGCCCCTTCAAATTCTTGTTTCTTGCAGCGATTGGGGAGGGCCACCATGACCCAAGACGGCTTCTTGCATGCTTTATTGTATCCAGCCTTTAGCTAGAGCATTGTCAGTCGATCCGAGCATGGTGAGTCCCTGATTGGCGCCACTCAATTCTGAAGTTTGCTTTCCTAAATCCAATAATCAGCCAGTGGGAAAAAAAAATCCGGTCGACATGCTATGCCGTCGGGAGGAATCGAACCCCCGGTTGCCCCGTTCAAGTTAACTAGCACAAACTAATCACAAGGGGCAGGCCTACATAGCCCATGACGGCTTGTTCCACCTAGTTTCAACTGAACTATACTCCGTCGTCGTCCGGCCACTGGGGAATAAATTCTTCCGATGTCACCATTCCACACCCAGTACCGAATTTTCCTCTATCCTCCTCCTCCGTGAATCGTCGACGAAGATGTCTCAAGCCAAGTCGTTGAGAACTAGCGAGTGGTAAAAAGGAACAGAAAAAGATTCGAAGCGCGCAGTGGACGCATGCCGTCGGGAGGATTCGAACCCCCGTTTGCTCCCGGTCAAAGTCAACGAAACCAAGTCATAATGATTGGGGATGGCCGCCATGGCCCACGACAGCTTCTTTTACTCCATTCTACTTGGTTGTACCTCGTCGTTGTCCGTCGACCGTGACCGACATCAGCATCCCGCCTCACCCAGTACCGAATTTTCTTCTGCCGCGGGGTTTTCATCCATAAAACGAGCAGTTCTCATGTTTTTGAGAATCAGCCTGTGGTAACAGGGGGGAAAAAAACAGATCCCTGAAGCGCGCATGCCGTCGGGAGGAATCGAACCTCCGTTCGCCCCGTTCCAGTTGCTATACAATATCACCGGGCTGGCTTCCATAGCCTACGACAGCTGTTTCTACTCAGCCTTGGTTAAAGACTGTGTCAAGCTTTCCTGTCCTTCTTTCTCTTCTTGAACTCGGTCCGGAACGGTTGTGAAACAGGTGAAAGGCACAATTTGCCACGGTTGTTGCCAAAAACAGAGAGAAGTTCACATGAATCCCACAGTAGCCCCTTATTAGAGTCTATTTGGAGCCGCTTTTCGAGCACTCTTTTTTAAAACTTGGAGCTTTGATCTTGAAAGAAGCAAGCCGCTTGAAGCGAGTGGGGCTGTGTCCAAATTCGGAACCCAACCCGAACCGGCCGTTTGTTTCACACAAACCTGTAGCTGACGGGCTTCATCCACGCCGCGCAAATGTCTGTGACTCCGCTGTCGCTCTGAGCTCCAATCCCGGACCAAAAGTCGCGTCGAAAGGGCTACTTGAACGCGTTTTAACCCAGGTCCACACGGGTGGAATGACAGTGTGGGAGCGTGGTGGAGCACTTTTCTTGAAAAGTCGCTCTTCAAATTTAAAATTTGGAAGTGGCTTCAAATAGACCCTATTGCTTTCGTTGTCCCACAATCGCCGATTATTCATGCTGCCTCGAGGTGACGGCGAGGTTCAAGTTAGTCTCTCTAGACAGACGCTCTATCATAACCAGCTCGTACCTCGCTTGATAGAGTCTGTTGGTTACCGCGCTTGATACCCGGTAGCCTGCGTTATTATGTAAGCTTCCTTTTCGGGACCTCACGTGAGCAATCTCTGGACGCGACTTGGACGCGTCGTGGACTCTCTGAGACGGGGAACCACACACTGAGCAACGGTTTGGTAAGATACCTTCCTGGAACGTGCTCCCTGAATTCCAGGGCTCGGTACAAAGGACACCTGTCTTCCCTTGAATATATTTCTCTGATTTAGGCTTATTTCCGAGGATGCACCCTCATCTGGTCGGTGAGCATCTGAAAGCAATACCGGGCTTATCAAGGAGGTTATACAACATTTTGAGGAGCGTATTGGTACATCATCTGTCCAAACGACGGTGAAACGCGTCGAGACGCGTCTCGCTAAGGGCTTGTTTGTGCAAGCATCTGTGATGGTTACATAATAACGCAGGCTACCGGGTAACGGGCGCGGTAACCAAAGGACTAGGTTCAAGTGGGACTCGGGACCAAATCGGGGCGTCTCCGGGTTCAGATCGGCGACAAAGAAGTTTGTTGAGTTCAACCAGTGGTACCTTTATTCACACTGAGCCACACGATGCCGCTCATTGATTGGTACCCCCGCTCTCTCCGCGCAATCCCAGGCCTGAACCTACCCTGGACCGGGAGAAGCCGATGGAATCAGGGATCAAAAATAGCCGCGGCGTTTTTGGGTCAAGAGAAATGATTGTTGCAAAAACCCCCTATACCAAGGAACCTACGATTCTATACCCCGCGTACCCGTCTCCATGTACCCGCCCTCACAATTGGTTTGATCGAGGTTCAAATCACACGGTGATGATGGACATGGACAAACAAAGAACACGTGCATCAGGGTGGTGGTTTGTTTTGCTTCTGCTCCCGGTCTCGCGTCTCCGTCTTCCCTCCACCCACCACCTGTTGCGGCGCTCCTCCTCCTCCCCTTCACCGCTCCTCCTCCCGGAAACCTCGAGCACCCTTTTCCGCGCTCCTACTTCCGCATCTCTCAGCCTCTACCCATACCTCTTCCTCCGGGACGCCTGCTTACACTTACGCTTACGGTCCGACACCCGTTAACGGTTAACGATCTCCGTATTTACGCATCGTACGACGAAAAACAACGAGAACAACGAAAACACACACGAAGCATGATAACGACACGCACGCCCCTCCTGCTGCTGCTTGGTCTGGCACTGCGCACGACGGCGACGTACTACCCGCTCATCGAGTACTCCGGCACGACCTTCTTTGACGGGTGGGACTTTTATGGCGCGATTGATAATACTACTTGGGGTGTGTGCTCTTTTCTCTTTGTCCCGTTCTCCTTATTCCTCCCTGCTTCCTCCTTGTTGTTTGTTCTGGAGTCGGAACTGAGATGCTGATATGGGTATATATGCGCGGACAGGCAATGTAACCTACGTCGACGCGGCGGACGCGACGGCCGAGTCGCTGGCGTACACGAACGGCGCGGGGAACGCGATCATTAAGGTGGATAATGTGAGTACTGTACTCGGCGTGGGGATTCAGTATCGGAAATCTGTGCGTCTTCTCTCCTTCCTCCTCCCTCTTCCCTTCCATGCCACACCCTCATCGCTACCGCGCTGAGTGATGCTGATACGCACACCCACAGGTCCGCCTAACCTCCAAAGCCGCCTTCCCCGTCGGCACGCTCTTCGTCATCGACGCGCTGCACATGCCCTACGGCTGCTCCGTCTGGCCGAGCATCTGGCTCAACGGCGTGCTGGGCCCGGGCGAGGTGTGGCCCGCGGCGGGCGAGATTGACTTGATTGAGGCTATCAATTTGGTGCGTCCGCTTTCTCGGGGTTCACTAGTTCGAGTTCCTTCCACCTATCTCCTTGTGTTTTTTTCGTTGTATCTCATCCTCGACCCCTCTGTTTACCCTCCTGTCCCTCTTTTCCCATTATTTTCCTCGACCGCTTTGTCCCCACGTTTCCTGTATTTTACTCCCGACTACATGTACCACCCTTCGCTGCTCTCTTCTCCCTTGTATCTCTACCCACTTCTTAATCCTCTCACCGCTCCCTTTCTCGTCTGTTCACCGTTCCCCTTATTCGCTGCTCGCCCTCCTCCTTCTCAACCCTCCCTTCCCATCCCTTCTCTTCGCTGACGCTCGCATTTAGATGGACCACAATCAAATGGCGCTCCACTCCTACGCCGGCTGCCTCCAGCCCGCCAACGTCACCCAAACTGGCCATACCTTGATTCGGAATTGTAATGATACGACTGCGAGCGGGTGCACCGTCGCAGAAACGAAGAACGGCTCATTTGGCGCGGGCTTCGCGGCGCAGCGGGGCGGCGCGTTTGGGCTGCAGTTTGATGTGGCGGGGGTGTTTATGTGGTTTTGGCCGGTGCGTGTTTTTTTTTTGGCAGGGGCTGTTTTTTGGCGGGGATGGAGAGGAGGGGGGGCAACGCATCATTTGTTGCGCATGGGGAGGAACAATGTGCGGTGTTCGGGGAGGAAGAATGCGATGCGCGGCGTCGCGTCTGTACTTCGTTGGCACGGCGTCGCATGGCGCCTCCTCGAGCGCAACTGCATGTGTTGCGCTGTGCATACGCACGGACGGCTCCTTGCCCTTCCCCTCTCGCAACTATAACCTCCGTCGCGCTTCTAAATCTTGGTCCCTCCCCTGTTCTTTGTACCTAGTTATTCTCCTCTCTCCCTCCCTCCTATCCCGTCCTTTATTCGTCCCTTCTTTCCTTCTCCCCTCGGTCCCTCCCCCTCCCGTCTTTTATCCCTCCCTTCTTCCCTCCAATGCCCATCGCTCATACTCTCTTTTCCCCACGCCCATTCCTCCCCCGTCGTTGTATCTCACCCTTCCTACTTATTCTCCCCCCCTCCCCTCCCTCCCACCCATCCTTCCCGATCTAACCAAACACCCCCAGCGCCCCTCCATCCCCGCCTCGATAACGCAAGCCTCCCCGTCCAGCACCATGGACCTGACCGACTGGGGCACGCCGAGCGCCGCGTACCCCTCGGTGGCGGGCGGGTGCAATGTGACGGAGTTTTTCCCGGAGCAGAGGGTTGTTATCGGTGAGTTTTTTCGTTTGGTTGTTGATACGTGGGAGAAAGGGAGTTGCGCGTTTTCCCGTGCTGCTGCCTCCTTCCTCCTCCTCGCCGCTCCTTTGATTGAAAAGAGATGAGCCAGAGGTTTTCCCTTGTTTCCTTCTCTCTCTTGTTTCTCTCGAGTCTCGTACTCAACATGCTCACTCGAAATTTGCCCGGCAGATATTACGCTCTGCGGACTTTGGTACGTCGCGTCTCCCCCACCCCCTCCCCGCACTCTCGCCCTTACTGACTTTACACGCAGGGCGGGCTTACCAAGTGTATACGACGCGACGTGTCCGGGGGATTGTGTACGTGGTCTTTTTATTCTCCCTCCCATCATCGAGTTCCCTCCCTCTCTCCTCGTTCACCGCCGAGACGCACGACGTCGTGCGACCGGTGTTTATGCATATCCGCATTTACATCCATGAACCTATTGCTGAGGATCTCGCCGATACCGCGATGATTTTTTTTCTCGCCTCCTACCCTTCCCTCGCACCTCCCCTCCTCCTCCCTGCTCTTTCCTCCCTCCCCGTATCTGCTACTTTTTACAACTTTTACCGCACACAACCTCACACAAATACCCATACTCACTCCTTCCCAGTTCGCCTCCAACATCGCCGGCAACGGCTCCAACTACGCCAACGCGTACTTCGAGATCCCGTCCATACGCACGTGGAGCGTGGACTCCGGCGCGGCGGCGA